GCAAATGACTATTATTTTATTTCTTTTTTTATTGGCTGAGTAGTATTCCATTGTAAAAATATACAACAGCTTCCTTATCCAATCATCTATTGATGGTTATTTAGGTTGCTTCCATGTCTTGGCTGTTGTAAATAGTGCTGCTGTGAACATTGGGGTGCATGTATCTTTTCGAATTAGAGTTCCCTCCAGATATACGCCCAGGAGTGGGATTGCTGGATCATAGGGTAAGTCTGTTTTCAGTCTTTTGTTTTTTTTTTAATATTTTTAATTGAGTTATAGGTCATTTTACAATGTTGTGTCAATTTCCAGTGTAGAGCACAATTTTTCACTTATACATGAACATACATATATTCATTGTCACATTTTTTTTCACTGTGAGCTACCACAAGATCTTGTATATATTTCCCTGTGCTATACAGTATAATCTTGTTTATCTATTCTACATATGCCTGTCAGTATCTACAGATACTGAACTCCCAGTCTATCCCTTCCCACCCCCCACCCTCTTGGCAACCACAAGTTTATATTCTATGTCTATGAGTCTGTTTCTGTTTTGTATTTATTTATTTATTTATTTTTAGATTCCACATATGAGCAATCTCAAGGTATTTTTCTTCCTCTTTCTGGCTTACTTCACTTAGAATGACATTCTCCAGGGACATCCATGTTGCTGCAAATGGCATTGTTGGTTTTTTTGGCTTAATAGTATTCCATTGTATAAATATACCTGTTTTTAGTCTTTTGAGGAATCTCCCTACTGTTTTCCATAATGGCTGCACCAAACTACATTCCTACCGACACTGTAGAAGGTTTCCATTTTCTCCACACCCTCTCCAGCATTTATCATTTGTGGACTTTTTAATGATGGCCATTCTGACTGGTGTGAGGTGGAGACAGTAAGATTTTGTGTTTTATATGCTTCATATAGAGGATTTTTTCCCCTAAAAATTGCTTCCTTTAAACTCTACACTCACATTTACAATTTATCCTCACCATATAGTTCGTTCTCCCAATTACCTGTTAGATTAATCTTTTACCACACAAATTCTTCATTAAGCAGGAGTAAGAGTAAGGGAGGCACCAAAAAACCACTTTTTTCCCTTCATATCCAAAACATGATTGTGCAGATTCCCATTGGAAGAGATGCCAAGTACTCCAGTGTGTCTGGGACATTCTTAGCTGGAGTTCTTTATATTTAAAGAGTTTGAAAGGGTTTTGTGTTGTAATGCATGCCCCTAAGGTAATGTATGTTAAAACAATTCACACAATTGAAATGGAGTAAAGTAAACTGATTGTGTCTTGCTTTATGCATTTGCACTGTTACTGTACTTTTATTTTTCATGAGATTATGAGATGGATAGTGATGTTAAAGAGTGTTAAGACATAGAGAACAATTCCAATTTAGTGGGAAATTCATTTTCATTTTCTGCCAGTATCTTTGTAAATGAAATTCTAGACATATACCTAGACTCCCATTCCTTGGTTTTTTGGTTTTTTTTTGGTTTTTTGGGGGTTTTTTTGTGTGTGTGTGTGGGAAATGAGTATCTTTGGACCAGGAATATCTTAGGGTCAGTAGGGGTAGCTACCTAGAGTACTTTGCTCTAAAAGACTTTTCAGGCTACCTCTGGGTTCCACAGAAGAGAATGTTGTAACCACCCATCCAGGTCTACCTGTGATCAGCTCTCAGTGTCTATCATGGGCATCAGATTGAGAATGCAGATAAACTGCTGACCCCTTTCCAGGTGCTAAAGTATTTTTAGAGGTTTAGATCTTTCGGGAAGGCAGAAATTCTCAAAGTTATATTGATAGACTAGATTTCTGGGAAGCATGTCATTGGTAACACACACACCCCTTCTTATGGGAAGGGTATCTTGGACTTCTAATTAAAATATCTACCGGTATAATGTATAGAATTATGTCTAGATGTGTATTTTCCCCATTTTGTTATCACTCATTGATTTCTACAAAATTATTGCTAATACCACTATTCTAATACCATAAAATTTGCCACTCTTTAGTAAATGCATTTTAGGCAGTCTAGTGCAATTTATATATGTAGAACTTTGTGTAAGTAATTGGGTCTAATAACAGGAAGAGATCTATCTTCCTTCCTCCCTCCCTCTCTTTCTTTCTCTCTCTTTCTTTCTCTCTTTCTTTCTTTCTTCCTTTCTTTCTTCCTTTCTTTCTTCCTTTCTTCCTTTCTTTCTTCCTTTCTTTCCTTTAGGATTATTTCCTTGTGATGAGTCAGTGTTGAGTGCCCATGTACCAAGGTTCTTGTTTCATCCTAATTCAAATCTTCAGAATGGAAGAGTTCTCCACGTTTCATAATTTAAAAATCTGAGGAAGCTCACAGAGGGTTTTAAAGACACACTGCTAGCAAGTGGTAGAGCAAGGCTATGAATCCAGAACAGAAAAAATATGAGAGATTAGGTAAATATAAGTTAATCTTGCTTTGCTCTTGAATGTAGATTAGGAGATGAGGCCTTGCAAAGGAGTTAGACCGAGCATATGTCGGAGTGTTTTGGAACTGTGATACCACCCTCCCCCATCCACTCTGCCCACCTTCTGTTGCCTTTTTGGCTGTACACCTGTAATTACCTTTATAAAATGAAAATTTGGTCATGGCATGATTTTGTTTTAAAACCCTCTGAGGGCTTCCTTTACTCTTGGGATCAAGATTACTGTCTTTAACTTGCCCCTTGAGGTCCTGGGCAGTCTGGTTCCCCCTCCCTCTCTGGTCCCATAGCTTGTGCCCCGTTGACTCGCCCTCCTTTGTCCAGGGAATCAAGCTTCTTTCCACCTCAGGTGCATTTCCGCCTGCCTGGGACACCCGTACCACTCACTTCACCAGGCTATCCCTTATCCTTCAGTCTCTGGTTAAATATTAATTCCTCAGATACCCCTTTCCTGACACTCCCAGCTGTGTCCAGCCCCATGACACTGTGCTTTTCTGTCAAGGTACTCATCACAGTTGAACTATGTAGATGTATGTGTTTGGGGGGTATGGTGTGTGTGTAATGTCTTGTTAGGTTGTTGAGTTCTCTGAAGGCAGGGACCATGGCCCTATCCATTGCTGTGTTCATGGTGCCTGGCATGGAGCCTGGTATGTGGCTCACAGTGGAAATCTAATGTGTGAGATGCCGGCTGGAGTCTTTCCTGTTTTCTAAAAACGGACGAGAAGAGTCCACAGCTAAAAAGGTGTTTAAAATCCCCTCTTTTCTCTGATCAGAGAGCTGCAGCTCTGTGGCCAGCATCTTCCTGCAAAGCTTTTTCAAGAGTTGCCTTTTCAGCAGAACCAGCTCCCAGGTTGCCCTTACCCCTCACGGCCTTCCATAGGAAAGACAGCCAGGACAAGGAGAGAACCTCCGCTTGGAGATCATCTTTTGTCGGGAAATCGGTGAGCTGTTAGCTGTCCCAGAAAGAGCTCCCCACGCCCAGTCTCTGCTGAGCTAAGAGAAGGAGTGGGGACAGAGGAAAGGAGAGATGCCAAATTTGGTGGGCCAAGGATGTGAAGTTTCTTGGACTCCATGGTCAGTGGAAGTGAATCCGTAGAAGGTGGCTTGGGACTAAAGCCTTCTGGCTAGTGCCCCACTGGAGAGCAGCCCCTACAACCCAAGAGTGGACCCCAGGAGTGAGCTAGGATATGGGGAGTATCCCAAAGGATGAGTCTCTGGCCAGTCAGAAAATTCACCCCACCAAGGTGGAGTGGTTGATGGGGGAGCCCTTTTTCCAGCTTCTGGAGAGGTGAGCCCCATTTCATGCAGAGGTTTTTTTGAAAGATGTCATCTCAGCAGAACCTACTCTCAGATTTACTGTGGATGGTCATGAAAGGAACCAACCAAGAGAGTAAGCTCAGGGAGAAAGGAAGGGAGAGGGGTGAGAGAGAGACCCCTCTACTCCTCCACCCCGGCCCTTGGAGCCTCCAGCCTTGTCTCAGCTGAGACTTTGTTTTGAACATGGGATTAAAAATTCTCATCAAAATTAAAGGCTTAGCAACTCAACTTGGCAAGAGGTCAGGTTGAGGCCCTTATTACTCAAGAGAGAAGGGTAGAATTAGAAGTTACTGGACATAAGATAGTTTCATGTTTTATTCTTTGCTGAGTTGAAAATCAGAAGTTCAGGTTACTCATTTAAAGGATGGAAGGGCTGTAAAATATCCGTCAGGTCAAAGGTGGCTTGTTAGTGTTCTCTGCCCTAGAGAGTTCCCTCACCTGCTGTGTCTTACACGTGAAGGTGTGGAAATGCCAGTTCAGTCCTAATATTTCCAGCAGCCTGTTGACTCCCACTGCTGTCCTCTCTCCCTTCTCCAGAAAACAGAAGGCAACTCAGTGAGAAGCAGAATCCAGGAAGGGCATTTCCCCTGTC